TTGTTGTTTATTCATTCTGTCACTTTCAACTCTTGGTGACTTCATGGACCAGCCCATGCCAGAGCTCCCTGCCAGCCGTCGCCACCCCCAGCTCCTTCAAGGTCAAGGCAGCCACTTCAAGTCTACCATCCATCCATCTTGTCCTTGGTCGTCTCCTCTTCCTTTTTCCTTTCATTTTCCCCAGCATCATTGTCTTCTCCAAGCTTTCCTGTATTCTCATTGTGTGACGAAAATATTTCATCTTCGCTTCTAATATCCTTCCCTCCAGTGAGCAGCCGGCATTATTTCTTGGAGTATGGACTGGTTGGATCTTCTTGCGGTCCAAGGCACTCTCCAAATTTTCCTCCAGCACCACAGTTCAAAAGAGTCTATCTTCCTTTGCTTAGTCTTCCTTATGGTCCAGCTCTCACATCAATAGGTTACTACAGGGAATACCATTGCTTTAACTATGTGGACCTTCGTTGCCAGTGTGATGTCTCTACTCTTCACTATTTTATCGAGATTGGTCATTGCTCTCCTCCCAGGAACTAAACGTCTTCTGTTTCCTAGGTGCAGTCTGTGTCTGCAGTAATCTTCACATTTAGAAATACAAAGTCTGTCACTACCTCCATGTTTTCTCCCTCTATTTGCCATTTATTAATCAGCTTGGTTGCCATAATCTTGTGGTTTTTTTATGTTTAACTGCAACCCAGCTTTTGCAAGTTCTTCTTCAACCTTGGTTATATGGTTCCTCAGCTCCTCCTCGCTTTCAGCCATCAAAGTGGTAGTATCATCTGCATATCAAAGGTTGTTAATGTTTCATCCAGCAACTTTAACTCCAGCCTTGGATTCATCAAGCCCTGCACATTGCATGATGTATTCTGCATACAAGTTTAATAGTTAGGGTGAAAGTATACAGCCCCACTGATTGTTTTCCTTTCCCAATCTTGATCCAGTCTGTTGTTCCATGGTCTCTTCTTACTGTTGCTATTTGGTCGTTATACATATTCCTCAGGAGACAGACAAGGTGACTTGGTATCCCCATGCCACCAAGAACTTGCCACAATTTATTATGATTCACACAGTCAGAGGCTTTAGAATAGTCAATTAAACAGAAATAGATGTTTTTTTGAAACTCTCTGACTTCTTCTATTATCCAACGAATATTGGCAATTTGGTCTCTGGTTCCTCTGCCTTTTCTAAACCCAGCTTGTACATCTGGCAACTCTCTCTCCATGTATTGCTGGAATCTACTTTGCAGGATCTTGAGCATTACTTTACTGGCATGTGAAATAAGTGCCACTGTATGGAAGTTTGAGCATTCTTTGGCATTTCCCTTTTTTGTTATGGGATATAAGTTGATTTCTTCCAATCTGATGGCCATTCTTGTGGTTTCCATATTTTCTGGCATATGGCATACATCACCTTGACAGCATCCTCTTTCAAGATTTTAAACTGTTCAGCTGGGATCCTGTCGTCTCCTGCCGCCTTGTTACTAGCAATGCTTCTTAAGACCCATTCAACCTCACTCCTCAGGATGTCTGGTTGTAAGTCACTTAACAACACCATCAAAGCTAGCCTCGATATTATTATCCTGCCTATCCAGATCTTCTGTATAGTCTCACTACCTTCTCTTGATCTCTTCAGTTTCTGTTAGGTCTTTGCCATCTTTGTTTTTGTTAATGTCCATTTTTGCCTTAATAGTCCCTGGTGGCGCAGTGGGTTAAAGTGCTGAGATGCTGAACTTGCAGACTGAAAGTTTGCAGGTTCGAATCCAGGGAGTGGCATGAGCTCCCACTGTTAGCCCCAGCTTCTGCCAACCTAGCAGTTCGAAAACATGCAAATGTGAGTAAATCAATAAGTACCGCTCCACTGGGAAGGTAACGGCGCTCCATGCAGTCATGCCCACCACATGACCTTGGAGGTGTCTATGGACAACGCTGGCTCTTCAGCTTAGAAATGGAGATGAGCACCAACCCCCAGAGTCAGACCCAACTGGACTTAATGCCAGGGGAAAACCTTCACCTTTTCTATTTTAGCCTGAAATTTACCTTCAATGTTACTAATTTTCTGGAAGAGGTCTCTTGTCCTTCCAATTCTATTATCTTTTACTTGCAAGAAAATTATATTTTTGAAGTATATGGAAAACAAATCTGAGTGTATCTTCTTTTATTTTTTGTATCTTGCCAGAGAAAATATTATAAAAAAAAGAATGTTCCTCAAATATCAGGGTTAAATAAACCTCTAACAAATCATACTTTTTATAAAATTGATTATGAGATATGTTTGTTTAGCAGGATAATAAAACATTGAATTAGGTGGGTTTGTAATAGTACACAACATTAATTCATACAAGTTCTCATAGACCACAATTATTTTATTTGTGGAAATCTTCCTCAAACCCTTTCTGAACTTTTAGAAATGAAATAGTTAATAGTTATCAGAACAGCTGTATAACTTGGCAATGCATTTCATTTCCACAATTCACTTTAAATGGGATCTTACTAAAGCTAAGATCCTATTTGTGAAACCCTCAAATTAACCCGACAGTACCAGTTTTACTGGATTATTATAGTCTTCAGTTATCACCTCAAGGCAGCTACATACCAGAAATATACATTCCTTCTAATGGTCTGTATTTTATTTTATTTTAGTTAAATTTTAAACTTTTACATAATGTAAAAAAAAATAGCTGCATCTATTTGATCTCCTGTAAAACTGGAGTCCCAAACTGGGAGAAAGTATGAATAATAATTGATAATAATTAATTAATCATTAATCATTCCCATTTGGCATCCTTTCAGTTCCATTCTACATTTCTGTAGGGTCCATTTGTTTTGTTTCAGCCTCCACAACAATGATTTAATCACTTGGACAGTCTTATCTTAAAGTACTGTTTTATGTAAATATTAAAAAACATTTAACCTACTGATTACCCAATTTTATTCGTATATATATATTTTGAAATTTATCAGAAGCTGCTGCATTTCCCACCCTGAATTTTTAAATAGTTGTTTAATGTGGAATTTATTTGTAGTGTATCGCATATAAGTGTTCTACTCTGGATAGCTTTATATATCTAAAATGTCTGTTTGTGTGTTTTATTCTGCGTTTTTCTTCAATAAGTATTATTTTTAAAATGTGCTTTTGTAAAATAATAGGACAATCCACCCTTGCATCATGAACACCCTGCAATTCATATTTTTCAGTATGCAGAGACTGGGTTCAGGTATATTCTAGCAATGGGAATAATGTAAGAAGTGCACTGGTTTCCAGTTTTTTTCCAGACTTTAAAGTACTACTTTTGATTTATGGAGCTGTAAATAGCTTGAGGATTTGGTAGCTGAAAGTCAACTTTCTCGTACATGAGCCAGTCTGAAATCTGAAATCTTTACTGGAGACCATGGTATGTAGCACAATTTTTGTTCCTGGATTATAAAGGGAAGGAAGGGGAAGGGGAAAAGAAAGAAGAGAGGGAAGGAAGTAAGAAGGAAAGGAAGGGAAGGGAAGGGGGAAAGAAGGAAAGGAAGGAGGGAAGAAAGGCAGGAGATGTTGACAAGCTGGAATGTATCCAGAGGAAGGCTACTAAAATGATCAAGGGTCTGGCGAACAATCCCTAGGAGGAGCGGCTTAAAGAGTTGAGTATCTGTAGCTTTCAGAAGAAAAGGCTGAGAGGAAACATTATGGCCATGTATAAATCTGTGAGGGGAAGTCATAGGGATGAGGGAGAAACTAGTTTTCTGCTGCCCTAGAGACTAGGATGTGGAACAATGGCTTCAAACTACAGGAAAGGAGATTTCACCTGAACATTAGGAAGAACTTCCTAACTATGAGAGCTGTTCATCAGTGGAATTCTCTGCCCTGGAGTGTGGTGGAGGCTCCTTCTTTTGAGGCTTTTAAACAGAGGCTGGATGGCCATTAGGGGTGCTTTGAATGTGATTTTACTGCTTCTTGGCAGGGGGTTGGACTGGATGGCCCACGAGGTCTCTTCCAACTCTATGATTCTATGATCCTGCGTTTAAATCCACTCTCTTCAATTCAGCAATCCCACTACATCCTTACCACATGTCCTGCATATGTTTCAAATTCTACTGTTAATGAATTCACCCCAAATTAAACTTCTCTGTCAGCAGTGTGGTCAGAACAGCAGTCTACTGCTTTTTCTCAACCACAATCCAGCTGCCGCCAACTGTGCCATCATGACTAAGTTAAAAACAAAAGCAATACTTCAGTAGAATACTTGTTCAGTAGAATACCTGTAGGGTGGAAGGGAATGCTGTTTGTGGTCATGGAGGTGATTGTTTTTATTATTTGAAGTGCTGATGACTTCTCTGTTCTGTCTTCTTCATAAACTTGTATGAAATCTGAAAGGGTATGACAGGCTAGTTGGTGGTGTTGTTGCATTTTGTATCACATTTGTGGGATGGGAAGGTAGCATGCAATAAAGATGTGCATTTTAATGCATTTTAGTGAAACTGTCACAATACACAAGACTGGGAAATATTTATTTTATTAGTTTTTATTCACTATGATAGATACAATATACAGTGGGCCTTTCAAATCTATTGGGGTTTGCTCCCAGGACACCTTGTGGATACCAAAATCAAATTGCATTATATGCAATGATGTATAAAATGGCATCGCTTACATAAAATAGCAAAATCATGCTTTGACATTTGAATCTTTAAAACATATTTTTAAACAGTAGATGGTGGAATCTTAGGTATGGAGGGCCAACTGTATATGTTTTTAATCCACATAAAACCATAGCCAGAAAAAATAAGGTGATAAAACTGTCTGGCATGTGGAGAAGTGAATGGAGATTTATGTCTTGCCAGAAGATTTGCAAGCCAGACAATGGGTGATTTCTACATTCCAATCAGTGGTTCTTCTCATGTGTCTACTAGAAAAATGTGCATACAGAAAAACTTTGCATTCCTTTTTAAAAGTATGGGCAATGTTTAATGACACTGATATGATCTTTTCTTCTAACATTTTGTCTAAATCTTGTTCTGTGACAGGCGGTGTGGTTACAGCAAAGCTAAGCAAGACCCCGAAGAAGAAAAGATGCATTTTCATAATGGCCACAGTGAGTGCAATTTGAATAATATGTGAGATAACAGCACTTCTAAAGCTTACTTTTTTGGAGAGATAAAGCAGGGTATTAATAATAATAATAATAATAATAATAATAATAATAATAACAACAACAACAACAGCAGCAGCAGCAGCAGCAGCAACAGCAACAGCAACAGCAACAGCAACAACAACAACACATTCTGGGCCTAACTCTTGACTTTTGAGGGAGAGAGGAATGAGTATCTTCTATTTTACCAATGGATCTTGGGCTTTCTACAGTTTGCTCCAGTCTGGTAACAGGAAAAAAAGGAAACCTATTCCATGATATATAGCAGCCCTATAGAAATGAGCTGACACAGGAAGAAAAAAATGAAAATAAATATTCCTGCATTTGAGAGCTTCTTTGGGGAGAGAATTGCCTTGCCAGTGTGTGTCTCTGTGTTTTTTAAATAAGCTATATTTTCAAAAATATCCTAAATAAACAAGAATCATAGAATCATAGAATCAAAGAGTTGGAAGAGACCTCATGGGCCAATCCAGTCCAACCCCCTGCCAAGAAGCAGGAATATTGCATTCAAATCACCCCTGACAGATGGCCATCCAGCCTCTGTTTAAAAGCTTCCAAAGAAGGAGCCTCCACCACACTCAAGCCTGGCGGGAAGCGCGAGCCAGCCAAGCCGTGCTCCCAGGCAGGGCCTGGGCCCTGTGGGGAGCGTTTTGCCCGGCTTGTGCCTCCCCCGAGCCCGGCGGGAAGTGCGAGCCAGCCAAGCCGTGCTCCCAGGCAGGGCCTGGGCCCTGCGGCGAGCATTTTGGTCGGCTCGTGCCTCCCCCGAGCCCGGCAGGAAGCGCGAGCCAGCCAAGCCGTGTTCCCAGGCAGGGCCTGGGCCCTGCGGGGAGCATTTTGGCCAGCTCGCGCCTCCCCCGAGCTCAGTGGGAAGTGCGAACCATCCACCCTGTGGGGAGCCATTTTGATGAGGGGGCGGGGCCAATGGAGACTGCCTCGCGACCCCTCCAAAATGGCCAGGTGACCCCCCGAGGGGTCGTGACCCCCAGGTTGAGAACCGCTGGTGTAATCCAAATTCTTTCTAACCTAGGGGTGCTGGAATCCACTGCCTTCATTCTGGATTAACTTTGTGCTGCCATTGTGGCTGTCATCCTGGACTTAAGGCGGTATAGGTCTGGTGTAACCTGGTTCTTTCTTGGCCTGCCTCTTCTCCACTTTTTGGGGAGTTGGGTCACTTCTGCTAGCAGATCATAACCAACAGACCAGTTTTGCTAGCAGATGCTCTGTTGGTGGATATTGGGCTGCCTTAGGCTCTGTGCAAGGGGAAAAGCAATATATAAATTAAACAAACAACCAAACTAGCACATATTTTTAATTGAACTTTATGTTATATTATTTTGTTGCACAATCTTTCTAGATCTGTTAGTTATTTTTTTCATGTAAGTTTAACCAAAAGAAATCTTTACTTGCAAAAACATGCCTCTGCTAACAGAAGGTGTCAGTGATTAATTCTAGCCACCTGTAGCAAGGACCTCTCTGAATTAGAATTGAGCTATTTCCATTAATTTGCATATGGGGAAAAGTATTCTGAAGTCTTAAGTATATGTCCTTTGTTTTAGGCTATGCACTCATATCACAGTGGTCATCTTCATAGAAGAGGCCATCTGTGTGCATGGGAACACCTTGGATTTTGATTGAAATTCTGTCAACAGCGAGAGTACGCTTGCATCGCTACCCTAGCAAAGGGAAAACTACGCGGGCACGGAGAAATAGGTGGAGAAAGAGGCAGAGAAAGAGGCGGAGTCTTCGACGTCATCGGTCGTGCTGGCACAGTTTGCTCTCCCAAGACGCTAGTTTGCAGCGGCTCTAAGGAAGGAAGAGAGACGCTTTTGAACTGGGGTGCTGGAGAAAAATTCTGAGAGTGTCTTGGACCGCAAGAAGATCAAAACCACTCAATACTCCAGGAAATAATGCCTGACTAATATCCTTCCCTCCAGTGAGTAGTTGGAGATTATTTCCTGGAGTATGAACTGGTTTGGTCTTCTTGCAGTCCAAGGCACTCTCAGAAGTTTGCAATAACTTAATTGCAAAATTCAGAAAAGTGTTAAACCTGAATGATACTTGTGTGCTATTTTGCATATTATTTGAAGAGTAGGAAATAAGCCAGTTGGTATTAAAAATGAATAAATGAATTTATCCCTCATCCATAAGCTATCTAGTTTCACTGCCTTTTTGTTGTTCTCATTAATCACTGCTTTAATGCTTTAAACTTTAATTTTATGTGCAGTCAAATTACCAGGAGTAAGGACATATATTGATCCACATACCTACGAAGATCCAAATCAAGCTGTCCATGAGTTTGCCAAAGAAATAGAAGCCTCCTGCATATCAATTGAAAGAATTATCGGAGCTGGTAAGAACATTTGGATACCATGCCTCTAATCTCTTTCTGATCTTCATAATAGCAGTCATAATAGTTGAAGTAAATATATCCAGAAACTAAAAATGGAAAACTGTTCTTCTTGCAGAACTGTTCTGGGTATTTGATTTAACCCTTTTATTGTAATATTTTGTAACCTATACAAACTATCCAGAGTGTTTGATGATGCAAGTGTCCAAGTATGATGGGTGGAAATGTAGAGAAGGAAGGCACAGGGCAATGATAAAGCAAACTGGAGAAGTAGTTAGGGATCATTCTTTAAAAATCACCCAGTCCAACACTACAGTTATTGGACAAGTTGTTACGGATTGTGCTTCTGAATCACCAACAGCAATCTGCAGTTGTTAGAGATCATGGTTTGCAGTTTCCTACTCCAGCTCTGCAGTTTCCAGATGTATTAGAGTACACATTGTATGGTAGGATTTGTAATCCAAAGCATTGGAAGCTCCCAGGTTGAGGAAAAGCTGGGTTGCAGTTAAACATTAAAAAAACCAAGATTATGGCAAGCAGACTGATGGATAACTGGCAAATAGAGGGAGAAAATGTGGAGGCAGTGACAGACTTTATATTTCTAGGTGCAAAGATTACTGCAGATGCAGATTGCACCCAGGAAATCGGAAGACGTTTACTTCTTGAGAGGAGAGCAATGACCAATCCCGATAAAATAGTGAAGAGTAGAGACATCACACTCGCAATGAAGATCTGCATGGTCAAAGCAATGGTATTCACTGTAGTAACCTTTGGATGTAAGAGCTGTACTATAAGGAAGGCTGAGCGAAGGAAGAAAGATGCTTTTGAACTGTGGTGCTGGAGGAAAATTCTGAGAGTGCCTTGGACCGTGAGAAGATCCAACCAGTCCATACTTCAGGAAATAAAGCCCAACTGCTCATTGGAGGCGAATATATTGGGGGCAAAGATGAAGTACTTTGGCCACATAATGAGAAGACATGAAAGCTTGGAGAAGACAATAATGCTGGGGGAAATGAAAGGAAAAAGAAAGGGGCCAACCAAGGGCAAGATGAATAGATTGTATTCTTGAAATGACTGGCTTGACTCTGAAGGAGCTGAGGGTGGTGACGGCTGACAGGGAGCTCTTGAGTGGGCAGGTCAATGAAGTCACGAAGACTCAGAAGCGATTGAACGAATAAACAACATCAAAGGTTGAGGAAATCAATTCAGGTCACCAAAGTGCCAATTAAGAGGAGCAAACGACAACATCTACCACTAGGTGGCAATGGTGATAACTACAGTCACATATGCATGCCATCTACAGCAACGGCTGCCAAACTATGCTCTGTGAAGATCTCATTGAAATTCAGTGTTTCTCTGTTTTAAAAACCAAATTTGAATTTGTGCCACTGAATGACTATTGGTTGGAAGTGACAGACATATAGCTGTAAGCAATCAGAAAGACTATCCAAGTAATGCTCCACTTCCTGTCCACCTACTGATGTGAATCAGACCTTTTACCTTATGATTACACCAAAAGCAAATTTAGGAGTAAGTTGGATGCTGCCCTGGATTTACATATTTAGCTGTCAGACATAAAATCGAATTTCAAAACTATTCTAATTACAAAAATAAAACTATATCATTCATTACTTTAGATTCAAATCCAATATTTTCCTGTACCAAAATAAGAGTCTGTGGTTATATTTAGATTTTTTTTTATTTCCAGTCCTACTGCATTGCATAAAACACTCAGGTAATAGGAGTACATTAAAGAAGGAAGAACTTTGTGGGGTTACAGTGCTTAGGGACAGAGTTAGGGTCCATGAGGAGGGGAAAAGTCTTCTGAAGGGTTCCATTACTCAAAAAGTTTGAGAACCACTGATCAATAGTACTAGAAGAAAAATTTTACAAAAAAATGCCCAAGATATCATTTAATGTTTAATTGAACCATTGTCTTAATGTGTTTTTAAAATCCTGACGCTAAACTAAGCAGAAATAGGATTTTGCATCCTCTGCCAAAAATCTTCATAAACTAAGGATTTTGCAATGTAGCAAACGCTGATCTATAAAACTCTGTAGTGTTTGAGAGAGCAGAATTTTAAGTATGTCAAGTGTTTCATTTTAGGTGTTTTCATATGGTGACATTATTTTGCCATAGACTCTTGTGAAAGCTCATGTTTTTATGTCTCCCAGAGGATCTTTTCCTCTGCCACCCCTAGATTGTGAAATGACCTACCAGAAGAGATTTGACAGCTAAATGAACTGTCATGATTTTAAACACAGTTAAAGACCTATCTATTCCAGCAGCCTACCCAGTCAGTTTTAAATTATGAATTTCAAATTTACATTTTATTAGTATTTAGTGTTTTTAATCTTTTTATTTTTATTGTGAGGAGAATAAAATTATTATTATCCTTTTATTATTAAAACAATGGTATGCTGAACTATCTATTACTGGGATTAGTGGTTGGCTACTTTTTTGTAGAGGACTACATTTTGGGTTCATATTCTTTACAATGGATTTACAGATATTTATCAATACTTTCTAAACCGTTTAAAATTTTACTCTGAAGTCTTCTGTAATCAAAATTATAGCAAGTAACTTTTCAATTTTTTCTTTATAATGGTAGATAAGTGCATGAATTACTGCCGTGTTTTAGCATGGTTCTTCTTTGTTTCAGTGATGCCTGTACAGGAAAGTTTCTCAATGAATTACATGCATTCAGTATCACAATCTTGCAAGTCTGCTCTTAATACATCCCATTTGATCTAGTAGAGCTTACTTCCAGGTAAATGTGTATAAAATTGCTACTCAAACCACTGATTCTGGATTAGTCCCAAGCAAACATTTTGTCTTTTAGGAAGTAGTTCTGTGCCATTCCTCCACTCCCATCACTTTCTTAGGGTGAGCAGATGCCTCCTGTACTGCTGTTTTCTGCTCTGAGTTTCTTCCAACTTTAAGGTGGAGCATTTTAAAAACCATACTGCAAGCTTTCAGTACAAGTTCTCACTATGTCTGGTACAAGTTTTCACTATGAACTGGATCCTGTGTGCGTGGATTAAAACATTTTGCTTGTGATTTTACTTATCTTGAAAATTGCATTTTTACAGATTTCACTGATATTCCTTTAAAAAAATACATTATCAGATCATTGTGGTATATGTTTATTACAGGGTGTGGTAAAATGATCTCTACTCCATATATTGCTGCATTGAGCACCAGCAGTACAATCTAATGGTCCAACCAGACCCTCGGTTCTTAGAACACCAAGGACTGATGAACTTTTTTCTCTCATTAGTTGAAGTTATGAATTATGTAAATGAATAAGCAGGTGATATCACAGACTGTTTACTCAGGTATTATTTTGCTTGTAGGTGAATTTGGTGAAGTATGCAGTGGGCGTTTGAAAATACCTGGGAAACATGAGTTGCCGGTGGCCATTAAAACCCTCAAAGTTGGATACAGTGACAAGCAAAGACGAGATTTCTTGGGAGAAGCCAGCATTATGGGACAGTTTGACCATCCCAACATAATTCACTTGGAAGGTGTTGTCACAAAGAGTATGTATTATTTTGGTTATAGGTTCTTTGGCTTTATGAAATTCTTTAAAATCTGGTACCTTGATGCCATCAAATGATAAGGTGCCTACCAGGGGCTTTTTGTGAAGTTATGTATTTATTACTGTTCTAGAGTTAGTCACAATTTCTTTTCAAACATTTTCTTTATATATTAAAGAAAATTTAATATATTAATTAAAATTGTTAGCAATGTCAAAAGTAGCACAGTTGCTCTTTGCCAAAGGGTAAGTGAATGATAGCTACAAATTCCCTCCCCAGAAAAATACACATAAGAACAACACATAAAAATTGCACATACTCTATTTAATCCATTTATAAATTCTATAGATAGATAGATAGAGAGAGAGATCTTCCGTTTTTTCATTGAAATTCAATATAACTGAAATAATTAAGATTTGCAAGGAGGAAACTGATGGGGAAGAAATGCCTCCAATTCATTGAACCCTCTCTGCCCCACTGCTAAGGATAGAACTGATATTATGTCTTGTCTTTCACTCTTTCCTGGTGTCCCAATACTTCTGTCTATATAGGGACATTTGGGTGTGCTCTTGGTTTATTTTCAATGCTCGCTCCTATCTTTTTAAAAAAAACCTTCCACTAAAATAGGAAGCTTGAGGCAGAACTACACAGGACTATCTTACACATAAAACAAATTATTATTATTATTATTATTATTATTATTATTATTATTATTATTATTATTATTATTCCGCATGGCTTGAGGCAGGGTACAACATGATAAAACACAACACTATTAAAATTCATATAGCAGAAATACACAAGTAAAATAGATTAAAATTAATGATATAATGTAGGTTAAAATTCACAAGTTCAAATTAACTTGTGAAATTAACTTGTGAATAGGCCTTCTGGAACAGTCTTGGGGCAGGCAATGAAAAAGTCCTTTGGGTGATAGATGCCAGTCGCGTTCTGGCTGGCTAGTACAATAGATCTCCCCCAGAGGACTTCAGCGTTTGGGGAGATTGTATGGGAAAGGGTGAGGTTACCTGTAGGTATCCTGGGCTCAAACCATGTAGAGCTTTAAAGGTCAAAACCAATACACATAACAGTAAATATAACATATCAAATTATAAAATCGTTAAAACATATAAACAGTTAAAACATATAAATACAATAGAATGATAGAATCAGAGTTGGAAGAGACCTCATGGGCCATCCAGTCCAACCCCCTGCTAAGAAGCAGGAATATTGCATTCAAAGCACCCCTGACAGATGGCTATCCAGCCTCTGTTTAAAAGCTTCCAAAGAAGGAGCCTCCAACCCACTCCAGGGCAGATAATTCCACTGCTGAACGGCTCTCACAGTCAGAAAGTTCTTCCTAATGTTCAGATGGAATCTCCTTTCTTGTAGTTTGAAGCCATTTTTCCGCGTCTTAGTCTCTAGGGAAGCAGAAAACAAGCTTGCTCCCTCTTCTATGTAACTTCCTCTCACATATTTATACATAGCAATCGTGTCTCCTCTCAGTCTTCTCTTCTTCAGACTAAACATGCCCAGCTCTTTAAGCCACTCTTCCTAGCGTTTGTTCTCTAAACCCTTGATCATTTTAGTTGCTCTCTTCTGGATACATTCCAGCTTGTCAATATCTCTCTCCAATTGTGGTGTCCAGAATTGGACACAGTATTCTAGGTGTGGTCTGACCAAGGCAGAATAGAGGGGTAGCATGACTGCCCTGGACCTAGACACTATACTCCTATTGATCCAGGCCAAAATCTCATTGGCTTTTTTTGCTGCTGCATCACATTGTTGGCTCATCTTTAACTTGTTGTCCATGAGGACCCCAAGATCTTTTTCACACGTACTGCTTTCGAGCCACGCATCAACCATGGTGTATCTTTGCCTTTCATTTTTTCTGCCTAAGTGGAGTATCTTGCATTTGTCACTGTTGAACTTCATTTTGTTAGTTTTGGCCCATCTCTCTAATCTGTCAAGATCATTTTGAATTCTGCTCCTGTCTTCTGGAGTATTGGCTATCCCTCCCAATTTGGTGTTGTCTGCAAACTTGATGATCATGCCTTCTAACCCTTTCATCATTAATAACGATGTTGAACAGCACCGGGCCCAGGACGGAACCATGCGGCGCTCCACTCGTCACTTCTTTCCAGGATGAAGAGGAAGCATTGCTGAGCATCCTCTGGGTTCGTCCACTTAACCAATTACAGATCCACCTAACCGTAGTTTTGCCTAGCCTGCATTGGATTAGTTTGTTTGCTAGAAGGTCATGGGGGACCTTGTGGAAGGCTTTACTGAAATCCAGGTACGTTACATCCACGGCTACATCCACATCTACCCAGCTTGTAACTATATCGAAAAAAGAGATTGGATTAGTATGGCATGACTTGCTTTTGATAAATCTGTGTTGACTATTAGTGATGACCGCATTTTTTTTCTAAGTGTTTGCAGACCACTTCCTTAACAATCCTTTCCAGAATCCTGCCTGGTATTGATGTGAAGCAGACTGGACAGTAATTGTTTGGTTCATCCTTTTTTCCCTTCTTGAAGATTGGGACCACATTGACCTTCCTCCAATCTGCTGGGACTCCTCCCATTCTCCAAGAACACTCAAAGATTTTTGCCAATGGTTCCGAGATGACTTCCTCTAGTTCCTTCAATATTCTTGGGTGTAGTTGATCTGGCCCTGGGGACTTGAACTCATTTAGAGCAGCCAGGTATTCCTGGATGACTTGTTTCCGAATTTGGGGTTGGATGTCCTCTAATCCCTCATCCACTCCATCTTGCTGAGGTTGAAGATAGCTTTCTTTTTTTGAAATGCAGATTAAAACCATACCACATAGTGCCGAGTCTTGATTTGAACTAATTGAAGTTTCCAAACTTGGTACAATGGTAAGCCAATGTAAAGTATATTGCAGAAGCCCAACCTTGAAGATACTAGCATGTGCACTACAATCTGGGATGCCCAACGCACGATGTCAGAAATTGTGAAAACTGGTCCACCAGAGGAACTCCTACTTTTTGGAGTGACTAATATGTGACTACTAGTCTGATCAGGCTGCCAAGGTATGGCTCTGAGGAGCATTAGTAGGGAAATTTGTGTCAGTTCCTTCCTCTCATTCACAGATAAAGATAGAGAATGAATGTCAATAATGCTTTTGGGGTGATTTGTCAATGGAATGGCGACGATCTCAGCACACACAAGGCACTGTAACACATCTTCTTAAACTTAAGCTACTTTATTAAACACAAAACTAAAATAATATTTACACTAGAAGTTAAGCAGAACAAGAAATATCTCGAGCGGCTACGTGGTTTGGTTTTTCGTTGTTATCTAGAATCAAGCGCCTTCTTACATTCCACAGTGACGAGATGACATATGACGTACGACACAACACAGCGTACAACATTTTCCGCACTGAGATTTACAACTCCTCCTTCATGATACAGTTATCCCCTTTCCACACAGGAATTACAACTCCGGAACATTGCATTACAAAGCTTACAAACACTAACTTTGGAAACTACAATACACTATATTCTGACATGATTGTGGGGTCATTGCTTCTCCTCTTGCTTTTAGCAATGGACATCATATAAATGATCCCTTCCCTTAGTACATTCTACATCTTTGCTTTTCTTTGCATGTTGTCATACTTCTTCAGTCCCCAGAAGCCAATGATGTAACATAATTGTGTAGACACAAATAATGTAATGATGTCAGGAACCAAATTTTACTGTAGTGAATATTATCAGAAACTGGGGTACTCAGTATGGGTCTGCAGCTTCCAGAAACACTACTGTGTTTCTAATAACTTGCCTTTCTAGCCTTATTCATTCCATTTTATGCCCATTTTGTCATGTAATTTTAGCTTGTTAGTTTCATTACTAGACCTTCATAATGATACTAAGGTCTCTGGTTCAGCAAGCCTGCCACTTGCCTGTAATTTTTCTTGCTGAAGCTCACACTTATTTGTGTCCTTAGTTTCATGTTCTCTAATGTGATGCTAATTTATTCAGCAATTACTCTCAACCTGCAGCATGCAGATAATGAAGCATAAGGTCAAAGAAATATGATTCTGTTATGATGGAAACAGAGGAAGGGCGCCAGAAACAGTGCTTCTAGGGAGTAGAGTCATTAAGAGGTGCCATTCTTTTTGTAATGCTGCCGTTAAGTGCCCAAGAGGATGGAATTGCATTGTACAACTCACTGTGATCTGCTAATAAAACTTAGTGCATTTAATGCCATTGCAATCTGCTGAGATGTAATGATAAATGCGTAGACGATCAAGCTGTTCCCTTGAATTGCTCATTTCTGATTGCCAAGTTCATCATGCTGACGGATAGCGCCGGAAAGGTCATTGGATTCTCTTTAACTTCCTTTCCTAAGATGGTAGAAATGACCACAGGGAATGAGTGGCTGTAGCCACTTGGGGGAAAGCCAAATAGACTGTTAACACTTGAAAGGATATACAGGTTGAGAATCTCTTATTTAAAATGCTTGGGATCAGATGCATAGATTTTTTTTTTCAGATAATGCAATATCTTGGGCCTAAATCTAAACACAAAAGTCAATTATGTTTCTCACACCCCTTACAGACATAGTCAGGAGGTAACTTTATACACAATATTTTTAATAATTTTGTGCATGAAATCAAGTTAGTGTGCACTGAAGCATCAAAATGCAAAAATGTCACTAGCATTTGCAGCTGTTCCCCAGTCTTCATGGACTCAACTCCTATCTTTCAGTGATTTGTTTATTTATTTGGGACATTTCTCTACCATCTTCCTCTGAAGATCCAAGGTGGTTTACAGCAGCAATTACTCACAAATATAAAAATAACCATCAAATAAAAGTCCATTAAATAAATCCCTCACTGTCCTAATGGACATAACATTATCATTACATAATAAACAAGTAAAATTCCCAAGGAACTAAAATAATAGAAATAGTTAACATGATTTAAATGCATGATTTAAATGTCCCAAATAAATGTTGTTTGGGGCTATTTGTTAACAACATTTTCTATAGATTATAGGTTGTGAGTATACATGCTCCCATTCCCGCTTCTTTAAATCCCTTTGCACAAGCATCCTAGAAGCCTGGAAAATGCCCCATTATTTTGAATAGATTCATATGTGCATTTTAGAAAGCTGTTCTAAGAAACCTTGGTGTCAACAGATGTCAGGGCTTCATAGAATCATAGAATCAAAGAGTTGGAAGAGACCTCATGGGCCATCCAGTCCAACCCGCTGCCAAGAAGCAGGAATATGGCATAAAGCATCCCTGACAGATGGCCATTCAGCCTCTGTTTAAAAGCTTCCAAAGAAGGAGCCTCCACCACACTCCAGGGCAGAGAGTTCCACTGCTGAACGCCTCTCACAGTCAGGAAGTTCTTCCTCATGTTCAGATGGAATCTCCTTTCTTGTAGTTTGAAGCCATTGTTTCGTGTCCTAGTCTCCAGGGAAGCAGAAAACAAGCTTGCTCCCTCCTCCCTGTGGCTTCCTCTCACATATTTATACATGGCTATCATATCTCCTCTCAGTCTTCTCTTCTTCAGGCTAAACATGCCCAGCTCCTTAAGCCACTCCTCATAGGGCTTGTTCTCCAGACCCTTGATCATTTTAGTCGCCCTCCTCTGGACACATTCCAGCTTGTCAATATCTCTCTTGAATTGTGGTGCCCAGAATTGGACACAATATTCCAGGTGTGGTCTAACCAAAGCAGAATAGAGGGGTAGCATTACTTCCCTAGATCTAGACACTATGCTCCTATTGATGCAGGCCAAAATCCCATTGGCTTGTTTTGCCGCCACATCACATTGTTGGCTCATGTTTAACTTGTTGTCCACGAGGACTCCAAGATCTTTTTCTCACGTACTGCTCTCGAGCCAGGCATCCCCCATTCTGTATCTTTGCATTTCGTTTTTCCTGCCAAAGTGGAGTATCTTGCATTTGTCACTGTTGAACTTCATTTTGTTAGTTTTGGCCCATCTCTCTAATCTGTCAAGATCGTTTTGAATTATGCTCCTGTCCTCTGGAGTATTGGCTATCCCTCCCAATTTGGTGTCGTCTGCAAACTTGATGATCATGCCTTCTAGCCCTTCATCTAAGTCATTAATAAAGATGTTGAACAGGACCGGGCCCAGGACGGAACCCTGCGGCACTCCGCTCGTCACTTCTTTCCAAGATGAAGAGGAAGCATTGGTGAGCACCCTCTGGGTTCGTCCATTTAACCAATTACAGATCCACCTCACCGTAGTGTTGCCTAGCCCACATTGGAATAGTTTGTTTGCCAGAAGGTCATGGGGGACCTTGTCGAAGGCCTTACTGAAATCCAGGTACGCTACATCCACAGCATTCCCCGCATCTATCCAGCTTGTAACTCTATCGAAAAAAGAGATCAGATTAGTCTGGCATGACTTGTTTTTGATAAATCCATGATGACTATTAGAGATGACCTCATTTGTTTCTAAGTGTTTGCAGACCACTTAATTTTCCAGAATCTTACCTGGTATCGACGTGAGGCTGACCGGACGGTAATTGTTTGGGTCATCCTTTTTTCCCTTCTTGAAGATTGGGACCACATTGGCCCTCCTCCAGTCTGCTGGAACTTCTCCCGTCCTCCAAGACCTCTCAAAGATTATTGCCAATGGTTCGGAAATGACTTCCGCTAGTTCCTCTTGGGTGTAGTTGATCTGGCCCTGGGGACTTGAACTCATTTAGAATGGCCAGGTATTCCTGGACAACTTGTTTCCCAATTTGGGGTTGGATGTCCTCTAATCCCTCATCCACTCCATCCTGCTGAGGTTGAAGATGACTTTCTTTTTGTGAGAAGACCGAGGCAAAGAAGGCATTAAGTAGTAGATTAAATGGGGAGAGGTGATATGGGGGAAAAATTGAATAGAAAATGGTTGTTGGATAGCCTCAAGTAAAATCCGCTTTCACATAATCAACAATTACATTTTGTCTATGCTTTTGTCTGCCTAGTAATGAAAATTGATGAAGTGAAAAAACTGTATGTGCTCTGGAACACCTTCACTGAATTTGTACAATCAAGAATGGTTGTTTTTTAAAAAAAGAATTTTATTAGATTTTCCATAATACAACGAAAGAGTGGGAACAATAACAATATAGAAAGAGAGAAAAAGATAGAAGTATATAAAGAGAAGATAAAGTGAAAATTGAAAAATAAAAAGTATGTATCTTAACTCCTATTCCAAAAATGAAAAGGGTGCCCCCCTTCTCTGCATAGAGTGGTAAAAGTTCTTCCCAGGAGAACTTGCAAAAAGCATCAACCCCTCTTTTCTCTCTGCTGTAGCACAACTTCTAGCTTTTTGAATGCCTTGGGCAGGGAAATGCTGGCAGAGGCCAGGGGCAGCTGGCCCCTTGACATAGCGCTTGTGGTTTCATCTCTTCACGAAATCACCTTCAAGATACCTATGAGTTATATAGAAATCCATAACTTTGCCTCCACATTTTGTCCTTGACTTATACATGAGTCTATATTATAGTCTTTTCACCATAGGCAACTCAACCATGCTCAAACAACTTAATGAGTTGAAATTCATGGGACTGGTACATACAAAAAATGTTGGCTATCTGCTACTCTAAGAGTTACAACTAATACGTTCATGATCTTCTTTGATCAGGTAAACCAGTCATGATTGTGACAGAATACATGGAAAATGGATCTTTGGATACATTTTTGAAGGTAAGACATGAATCATAGAATCATAGAATTGGGACCACATGGGCCATCCCTGACAGATGGCTATTCAGCCTCTGTTTAAAAGTTTCCATGGAAGGAGCTTCCACCATACTCCGAGACAGAGAGTTCAACTGTTGAACAGCTCATACCATCAGGAAGTTCTTCATAATATTCAGGTGTAATTTGAAACCATTGCTCCTAGTTCTAGTTTCCAGAGCAGTAGAAAACAAACCTGCTCCCTCTTCCTTTTGACATCCTTTCACATATTTATACATGGTTATCATGTCTCCTCCCAACCTTCTCTTCTGCAAGCTAAACGTAACCATACTACAGGCTAAACATACCCATGAAATGAATATGTAGATGAAGAATCTCTCCCACTTCAATATGCATCTTTGATCTGGGAATCTTTTTAGAAACCCTATTTACTAGCAGTCTGTGGGAATCCTGTTCCTTCATAGATTCAACACCTTGGGTAGCTTCTTTAAGGCCAGCCCAAACCAGGAATGGCTTCACTACTCTGCTGACACTGGAGCCACTACACTCCAAGGTAGCATATTCCACTGCTGAACCATCATGAAGTTCTTCCTAACATTTTGCTCAAATCTCTTTTCCTGAAATTTGAAGATGAAGTCTGGTAAGAAATTGATAGATCCATTCAATTGAGAAAGACACAGTCATGAGTCAAGATGTGAACAGGGCAGCTGATAACAGGAAGTCTCTCATTCACAGTGTATGAGATTACATACAGTTTTGTATATGTTTTGATGATTATAAAAAAATATTTTAGGTCTTCTTTCTTTCTTTTTCTTCAACCCTTTTTTGTATGTCAAAATGTATGCAAAAGCAGTGTGTCTGCAAAAGGTATTGTATTATATGGCCATGAGTTGTTTTTCCACAGGACAAGATGTTTCCCACAATGGCTTTGGGGCTCTCCCCCCTCCCCCAACACACACACAAACACAAATATAATAAAATCCTGAAATGTCTTCATGAGTTAAGATTCCTTTGCTTATTAAGGATGAGAAAATATGTGAGTTGTCTTTATGTGACTACAACCCATGTACAGATTCATTAAAATGCTAATTATGCCAGATGCTATTTGTACCATAAGAGATTCTACAGAACCCATACCCCTTAGGTTAAATTTGTTCTCTCACCACATCTTAAAACATGGGATGGGAGAAAATATGAACAGCATCTGTGCAACTTAAAAGTTTACAATAACATTTTAAACTTTTGAAATGCCAATTATAGTTGAAGGACAATGCACAATCTCTTAATAGGTTTTAAGTATGAAGTATACTGTCAGTTAACCAGAACTCAAGCAACTGCCCCCCCCCCCAAAAAATGAAGAAATAATACTTTAAACAAAAAGGCTGCTTGCAGTTACTTTTTGTTACTGTATCTTGTCGTAAGTCTTTTAATAGTTTATCTCTTGCTTTAATGATGTTGTCTGTTTCCTTGAGCCACAGGGGGAGGCAGTTAATAAATTTATCAGTATTATTACATCAAGTCAATACAGAGTTCAATGTCTGTTGTAGTATAGGCTATAGCATTAGTTAGGTCTATTTTAACAGTAACTCTCAAGCAACCAGAAACTAAATTTATCTGGCATTTACCTTAAGGGTGCTGGGTAACTGAGAGTCTACTATATTTAGTGATGGATTTTTTTTATCCCCCTACAATATCACTTTCCAGGGAAATTTATGAACAATGTGACGTACAGTACAAGATAAGTAGAATAACTACTAATTTTCAGGAACAGGAAGAACTGATCCAATGATTGGTTTACAGCAGAGAAGAGAAATAGGTGTTTTTCTGGGAAAGAATTTTGAGGTTAGATGGAGCCACATCTGAAAACGTACTCTCTCCACCTTCCTGCCATCCTTGACAGAAAACCAGATGCTAATTGGCACAGCCCCATGGATGCCATGGAAGCCATGAAGTCCTGAGCAACTCCTGACAGGGTGGTCTCCACATGGACATTGAAATCCCCGAGCACTATGAGCCATTGGGACTCCAATGCCAGGTCCAAGATCACCCTGGCTAGCTCAGGCAGGGAGACTAGTGCAGCAGGGTGATCAGTACACTAGCAGAATCCCTATTCTGTCCCGGTCACCTACTCTCAGGTGGGCACACACAAATAAGGCTGACTGCAGAATGGGACACCTGGTCAGGGAGATAGAATCCTTATAGACTACTGCAACCCCACCTCCCTGAAGTCCCCACCTCCCTGGCCTCCAGATATTGGTTGGTGCTGAACGGAATAATCTGAAGGACAAAGCTGGGAGAGATTACCCCCCCGCCCAGCCAGTTCTCCATTATAAACGCCAGGACTGCATGTTCATCGAGGATTAAATCCAGGATGATTGTTGATTTTCCATTAACAGATGTGGCATTCAACACTGCCTTTAATCTAGAGGGATCGCCATCCTGGGTACTCAGTTTTACCATGTCAGTTTTGGCACTATAAGTATTTTCTTTCCCTAGGCCGAATTGGTTGTTTAGGTCTCCCTTTCCCATATCTCCCCCTCCCCAGTATTACTCCTATATGGGCCCCTTGACCAGTGGAACTCCTCCCCCCAATATGCCACCCATCCCCAGCCCATGGAGCATCACCATCCCCCACCCTGCAAACTCCAGTCCCCTCCAGCCCTTCCAACCCCCTCCCACTTACTAAAGGCCAAATGCAGATGTTTTAAAATGCAAATTGCCAGGGGATTAAAGAGGAGGATGGATGAACAGAACTAAAGGAGTCTGTTTCACAAATGTCTATATTTTATACTTTTACTGCATTCCACTGGATACCAACTCTTCTCCTACAACTATTTCCCCCCCCCCCCCAAAAAAAAAGCAAATTGAGGAATAATTGTGATCACTGAGTAATCCTTAGACCATATCCAATTACAAGATATTGTCGAACCCCACTCTGTCTCAGCGACACCACTTAGAGAATTATGGTGTCTTGCCTTTTTTTCATGCCAGATTAAAGTCATTTATTTCATCTAGTAGTGGAAAAGAATTTCTCTGCCCTGCCCATTGAGGGCATTAATGTCTCCTGGAGCATTGGTGCAAAATGATGGCTCCATTAGCCCTACAAAATACAATTGTAATTTTGACCTCAAAGCAGAATATTTCACTTTGTTACAATAATTTTTATGAACTTAATTGGATTGTTGTTTTTAAAATGTATTTATCATTACGGTTTTAGCTGTGCTTTGTTCAAATCCCATTTACAAACTGCTTTGGAGCCCCATGTTGGGGGAGGGGGGGAAGCAGAATGTAAATGAATTAAATATATATAAACATGTTTTCTTTAGATGTACCATTTCCATTTTTATGCTCTTTATTTATGCCTTCTCTTTTTTCCAACAGAACTTTGGCATTTCTACTCACTGTACTATATTATTCTCCCCTGTCTAAGAAATATGTCTCTGATCTGATCTCTAAAAGCTCTTTCTTGCACAGTTTGCTACCATTTCTTACATACACGTTCTTCTTCAAACAACTTGAATTATCCATTTCTTTTTTCTGTACATTTCCTCATATTTATCATCTCTTTTTTCCCAACATTATCAAATAGATTGCTTACTATATGTACATTCAAAACAGCAGAGAAGCACAATCTCCATCACAAAATGGAAAAACAATGTTACCAAAGTAGAGCGATCAGGGCATCAGTTAAGTACGCACTCCCTTTATCCCCATAGGGTGCATCTTAGGCTCTTTTGTATCTACACATGAGCCATACTTTCTGATGTAAACATAAGCATCCATGTACCTTATTTACTTAAGTCTAATGCACATCCTTTTTTGGCTAAATTACCTTTATAAATTAGGGTACACATTAGCTTAGATGGTGCTCAAAATTGGCTGCCTCCCTCCCTTGATTTGTTGGTCTCAGATGCCCCTTTGCCCTCCTCTTCTTTGCCTGAGCGACGCACATATTGCATGTCTCCTTATTTCCCCCAGCATTGCCTCTCAGCTAGAACCAGTCATTTGCCTTTCCTAATGGCAGCAAATGGGTATCTACACGTGGAAATCACTCTGGAGCCTTCTGGTTAACCAAGCCTTTCCCCACCTTCCTCCATTCCTTTCCACTCCTCCCCCCCCCCCTCCAATGATTGAGGAGGGAAAGAGGGAGAAAATTGACTAACTGAGTAGGGAAAGAAGGAGACAACTCTATTACCCTGCAGGTTTTTCTGCTTTTCCCTCTTTTCCTCCTCAAAGAAGCCCCCTCAGCTTCTCTCCCTTCCACATAATTTTGGCTGGTTTGAAGTGGAAAAGAGAAGTGGGAGAAACAGGACAGATGCCTGCTGGGTAATGTAGTCTTTAGGGCTGGGCAACCACGGAAAAATTTGTTTCTAAACTCAATTCGTTTTTTGGGGTTTTTTGCGTTTCGATATTTAAAAGAATTCCGAAATTTTTCTTTAAAAAAGTTCGATATTTACGAAATTTCGTAAAATTGCGAAACAATTATGAAACGATTACGAAACGAATACGAATCGATTTGTTAATGGCGGACGCGACCGCGCAATACACTAAAAAGCCTCCATATGGGACAGGGGGAACTTTTAAAGCTTCCCTCTCCCTCTGTTGTTGACTGTTGGTGTGATATTTATAATTTTTTTTCACTGATTAAAACAAACAACAGCTATAAAACTTGCCCCAGACATGTGAAAATAATAACGAAACGATTTCGAAACGATTTCGAAACGAATACGAAACGAATACGAAACGAATACGAAGCAATTACGAAACGAATTGAAAAATTCGTTTCGTTTTTTAGATGCTCCTGAATGGTTCAAAATCGCTTCGTTATAAAAAAATAACGAATTTTTAACGAATTATGAAACGAAACCACCCAACCCTAGTAGTCTTCTCTCTCTCTCTTCTCCTTCAAGACAATTAATCAGGAGGGAGATTCAGTGGTTCTTGAAGGAGAGAGGGGGGAGGATGAAGGGTTGCCACTTCCCAAGAGCAGGGAAGTTCTTAGTAGCATGTTCCCCCAACCTCCTTTTCCCCACACAGAAGCAGCCTTGGGGGCAAAGAACAGATCTGGCTTGGCTCCTCCTTTAGAATCACAGAATCATAGAGTTCGAAGAGACCTCATGGGCTATCCAGTCCAACCCCCTGCCAAGAAGCAGGGAAGTTGCATTCAAAGCACCCCTGACAGATGGCCATCCAGCCTCTGTTTAAAAGCCTCCAAAGAAGGAGCCTCCACCACACTCCGGGGCAGAGAGTGCCACTGCTGAATGGCTCTCACAGTCAGGAAGTTCTTCCTCATGTTCAGATGGAATCTCCTTTCTTGTAGTTTGAAGCCATTGTTCCGCGTCCTAGTCTCCAGGGCAGCAGAAAACAAGCTTACTCCCTCCTCCCTATGACTTTCTCTCACGTATTTATACATGGCTATCATGTCTCCTCTCAGCCTTCTCTTCTTCAGGCTAAACATGCACAGCTCTTTAAGCTGTTCCTCATAGGGCTTGTTCTCCAGACCCTTGATCATTTTAGTCGTCCTCCTCTGGACACATTCCAGCTTGTCAATATCTCTCTTCAATTTGCTACATATGCTGGATTTTTACATCTGAGAAGACATGTAAGGTGGTTGATTTTGGTTGCTGTAGTTAAAGGCTATTTCTAAATATTCCACTCCCTCTTACTCCTGAGTATTGCCTTACACACAAAGAGTGTGGAATAAGGAAAAGGGAGAGAAATATGATGATGTCTCCTGCACCAGGGTAGTTAGTGATGTTGAATTCCTAGTGTTAATCGATGGACTTCCCTATTTCAGAGCCTTGATATGTTTAACGCAAGCATGCCTCAGTTTACTTCTTCTCTGCTATAATTTGCTAGTTAAACAAAGCAATGTGCTCTATATTGTTTTCTGCTTCCTTGGAGACTAGGACGCGGAACAATGGCTTCAAACAAGAGAGGAGATTCCATCTGAACATGAGGAAGAACTTCCTGACTGTGAGAGCCGTTCAGCAGTGGAACTCTCTGCCCTGGAGTGTGGTGGAGGCTCCTTCTTTGGAAGCTTTTAAACAGGGGCTGGATGGCCATCTGTCAGGGGTGATTTGAATGCAATATTCCTGCTTCTTGGCAGGGGGTTGGACTGGATGGCCCATGAGGTCTCTTCCAACTCTTTGATTCTATGATTCTATTATTCTATATGAATGCTTTGAACCATCTTGATTCTGCTTCTGATGACTTTGCTGCATGGCCCACCAGCTCCCATAGGCATCAGCCGCCATTGAAGAACATAGCACTTAGGTGTGTGAATATTCTTAAACATTTTCTTGCTGCTCTCTCTTATTTTTTTTAAATAGCAAACTGAAACTGTCAGGGAGGGACTGGCAGGATAGCAAGAATCTAACTACCATAAGTAAATGTGTCAAGCCCCTTGGCCTTGCAAATTGAAACAAACTGCTGCTGTATCAGCTGAATTGGATATATAGTATATTGGAACAGAGTCCTACAAAACTCTTCTCAATCAGAAAATGAATGTAAAAACTGGAAATTCAGAGGTAGGCCACCTTAGAGCTACTTAAGCCAGTTCTTCTCTTTAAAAAATCACTGAAAGGAATATAAAGAGCAAAAGCAGAGATATAACTGACCCACACAGGAGTTTGTTTTTTTTGTTTTGTCAATTTATGTGTTCTAGAGAAGGTGAATTGAAGTTGGGGATACCTCCAGACTGTGTATTTCTTCAAACCCCTTCTCCCAAAAGAGGCATTGTCAAGATGTGACTGGAGCAGAAATCTTCGTATTTGCATGTGGTGATGGTGATAGCACTAGGGCATAAATAAAGAGGAGGTGGATGAAAAGGAGATAATAGGCCTAGAGGAAATGAATTCTCATCTATACATTACTTCAGCAATGTAAGACCTGGACGTGAGTAATGTATAGATGAGACTTTGTCATTTTCAAGATCCATGACTAAATTCCTACTGCCTTTACTTGCATCAGGGTTTCGATCGACTGCTTGACATTCTCACTATCCATTATTTTTTGCAGAAGAATGATGGGCAGTTCACTGTAATTCAGCTGGTCGGCATGCTCCGAGGAATAGCATCTGGGATGAAGTACCTTTCTGACATGGGCTACGTCCACAGAGACTTGGCTGCCAGAAATATCCTAATCAACAGTAACTTAGTATGCAAGGTGTCTGACTTTGGACTTTCCAGAATTCTTGAAGATGATCCTGAAGCTGCCTATACAACAAGGGTAAGGAGCAGTGAATAGGATGCAGCATAACAGAAGACAGTGGAAGAGCACTTAGGACATTTTCCAAATATTCTACTACACAGTTGTAAGCATCAGTGGGAGTCTTCAACAAGCGAATTGCCTTAGGGTCACCTTAATAACTTGACAGAAATTACTTGAAGGCAAACAACAACAACAGCACTTTATTAAAAAAAACTAGTATTCAAGCTCTATAGTCTGACCGGTTTGTCCCAATTGTGCTTTGCAATTTCTCACTTTCCTAGCTTTTCACCTCCTGAATACCAGCCTATTTCTAATTATGTCACTTTTGCATCCTTCTTTGCAAGCAACTAAATTTCATCCCTGTTCCCCTAGTGCTGGGGACTATCACAGAACAGTTATCTCTTTTAAGGATATGGGATGGGAAACATATCAGTATTTTTGTTGGGGTGGGGGAAATGAAAATTCACCTTGGAAAGGAATGATCTGGTGCACGTATCCACTTACTTTGCTTTTGTAGGTTCCTGGTTCTTTAGTGCTAACCACCACCACCACCATCACACATACACACACTGGTACGACTTCCTTTTTATGAATCAATCACAAGGATTCACTCAGGAAAATATTATGTAGCAAATGGGAGGAACTTTTAGTACTTTGAGAGCCAGTGTGATATAGCATTTTACTGTGACTCTGGAGAACAAAGTCCTAATTTCAGTTCAGCCATAGAAACCCACAAGTCAAACGATCTCATTCTCATAGGAAAGCAAAGGAAAATCCCCCTGAACACATATTGCCAAGAAAACTCTGTGATAGTTTCACCTTAGATCTGCTAGAAGTCAGAAATGATTTTAAGGCACACTGCAACAACTTAGTGCTTTGTCTGCCAGTCTGATTTTTATCTGAACACTCAGGTCAATATTTTCTATGTACTTTTCATGTTTTTAACAGACCAGCAGGGAAGCACTGAATCAAATACCAATGTTTCCTTTTTATACTATGCACAGGCAGATATATTATTCGGGGCTTGATCTTTTCCATCTCTGTTTTCCTTCCAATTTTGAATTCAGAGTTTGTGAACACAACATTTTGTTGACATGCTAGTAAGTTCACCTGAAAATTGTGAGGTGGGATTTCCAGTGACTCTCAAGAACAAGCTGATTGCTTGTTTGTTTGGATTTTTCCCCTGCAGCTACTTTACCCTAATTGAGATGTGAATTCTATATGTGTCCTGGTGTTCAAATGAAATTTAAACAACTCTTCAGGACAGGCAATTATTAGTCAGCCTGCAGGCACACATAAGGTGAGATAACACAGAAAGAGGCCATCCTGCTCTCACAACCAAATTACATTATGAATTCTACATCATTTTCATGCCTTGTTCAGAGATATGGTATCCCTTGATACAATGAGAAACTGTGATTTCTCTTCACTTCTTACAATTCCTTAGGGAGGAAAAATCCCAATCCGATGGACAGCTCCAGAAGCAATAGCCTTCCGCAAATTCACCTCTGCCAGTGATGTCTGGAGTTATGGAATTGTGATGTGGGAAGTGGTGTCCTATGGGGAAAGACCCTACTGGGAGATGACGAATCAAGATGTAAGTACTTACTTGCAGATCAATGTCCTGACAGGCATTAGGTTTGAACATAATTGTTTAATCTCTTTTTGAAAAATGGAATGTATACTGATGCTTCCATTCATATTTCATCACTGTCTGTCCTTCTGAAAATGATATACCATTTAAGTTGCTTTCTGTCCCATCAGGCCTGCCTCCAAAGAACAGCCTAAAAGAATCTGCTCTGGAGCAGACTCCAAGTTGGCAAGTATCAGGTGCATATGTTCAGGACCTCAGACTTTCTTTCTTGGGCACCAGTGAGTCAATACTCGGGCCCAGTATTACCTCATTAGCATTCCAAGTGATATTGGGTGGCTGGACCTAACTGCCATTCAAAATGTTCTACAGTGCTCTGGAGTGATGCCACATTTTGCTATACAATGGTGGCCTTTTCAAGCTGCTTTGAGTGCTGCCGCCACTGTAGCTACTATTAGGGTTGACTGACAGAGCAATACAGGTGGGTGACAGAGTGTGTTTGCCAGTGGGCTTCTATAATGACTCTTACCTAATAGGCCAGAGTAGAAGCCTGGAAAGTCAGTAGGGCAAACCTCCATTTTGAGAGGGTCTGCCAGTAAAGCAGCCATCTTAAGAGTGAATAGATAGAATATGGGAGGAGTTGGAGGTCTCCTGGGATTGGCTAGAGAGAGGGGGAGGAGCCAAGTCTTGGGATGGAAAAGATTTCAGGTTCTGAGAGTGAGTTGAGATTTGGGAACTGAAGGAAGTAGGGCTGGGCGGTTTCGTTCATTAATTTCGTAATTCGTTATTAATTCGTTATTTTTTTTATAATGAAGCGATATTGAACCATTCAGGAGCAACTAAAAATCAAAACGAATTTTTCAATTCGTTTTGTAATTGTTTCGTAATTGTTTCGAAATCGTTTCGAAATCGTTTCGTTATTATTTCCGCATGTCTGGTGCAAGTTTTATAGTTGTTTGTTTTATCAGTGAAAAACAAATATAATTATCACACCAACAGTCAACAACAGAGGGAGAGGGAAGCTTCAGAAGTTCCCCCTGTCCCATTTGGAGGTTTTTTTTTAGCATATTGCGCGGTCGCGTCCGCCATTAATGAATCGATTCGTAATTGTTTCGTAATTGTTTCGTAATTTCCGAAATTTCATAAATTTTGAACTTTTTTAAAGAAAAATTTCAGAATTCTTTTAAAAATCGAAACGCAAAAACCCCTAAAAACGAATTGAGTTTAGAAACAAATTTTTCCGTGGTTGCCCAGCCCTAGAAGGAAGAAGAAGTGGGTTTTGAGACTGGGTATTTCTGAGAGTGTGTGTATGAACAGGGTCAGAACAGCTACCTGATTTCTTGTGTGAGACAGCACAAGGGCTCTGCTCTCTAGTTTGAGTAAGTTAGCTGTGAGGACTCTGGAGAGAGTTGGCTAATTACTCTAAGACAGCCTGGGGATAGGTTAATCAAAATCTCACTGCTATTTCTCTGAAGTAGAGTGAGGGAATTTCTTTGTGTCCGGTAGCTATATCTGTGAGATTAGCTCTGTTTGTAACCAAGCCGAGAAACTCTTTTTAAGCAACCATTAAGCTATTGTGCTATAGTAACAAGACAAGTATTTATGCCTCTCAAAAGAAGAAGTTAGTTGTCTGTTTTTTTATAAATAAAATCTTTTTCTATTTAACTCTTAAGAAGCCTCTATCATTCCGTAATCTGTCAGTATTTCGGTGTGATAATTCTAGTTTCTTTAACATCCTAATACCACAGAAAGCTCACTTATCCAAGCAGTCATATTGGGAGCCAACAAAAAAGCTGTGTGGGCAGAAGTGGGAAAGATTTACCTCAGAAACTCATTTTAAAAATCCTAATGCATATTAGGTTGGTGGCAGCAATAAACCAAAAGAAGACTGAAGCAGTGTTCACTCTACCATTACACATTCTATCTAACATCAACTTGCTACCATACTATCATCCAGTAGTGGTGTATTACATATAATCCTTTATAGTGGTGTTCAGCTGGGGGATATTATAGTATATCATATGATCCTTTATATTGGTGTCCAGCAGCGCGATATACATAGATATTTGGTGTTAGATTATTTTGGAAATAGTCCTGAATTCTTTACAGCTTCTCAGTGCCAGAACTACTTTTTGTCAAATCTTTCAAGAATGAGGGGTGTTGTTGTTATTATTATTATTATTATTATTATTATTATTATTATTATTATATAATAATAATAACTTTATTTTTATACCCTGACTCCAGCTCCCTGAAGGGACTTGGGGTGGCTTACATCAGGCCAGGGCCCAACAATATAGTTAAAACGTAACACATTAAAATGTTTAACAATATAAAATAAAACAAAATAGAACAACAACATTATAACAAAATATAAAGCAATGATCAACCAACACCAATAGCAAAATTCAACGTTTCGTCACGGGCGGGCGGACTGATGCAACAACATTTCAGAAGAAAGGGCTAGCGAGTAAAATATATAGGTCATATAGCAGCAGTAAGGATAAGAGCAATATAAAATTATGAAGTCTAATCTCAATTGATCAGGTGTTTAGAAAGAGTGTTACGTGAAACCTTCTTGCTAAATTAATGCAAGCTCTTCTCTCAACTCTGATGTTGCTGGTGCTCTCTTCTGTACTGTACCAGTAGCAAGAGGACTTCGGGTAATAGATATGGAGCTCTTGACTCCGTACAAACAGTCTGGACCCCTAGCCTTAAGAGCAGAAAACCTCTAGTCTTTGCATCACCTTCCTGTGAATGGCTTTAAAGAATGCTTTCACTGTGACCAGACCTAAGTGGCAAACTTGACTTCCCTAGAAACACTAGGACATGTTTCTGGTGATATATGTACATAGAAAGCAGTTCTGTCAAAGTTTAGCTGCCCACTGGTTTAGGATAATAATGTACATGTAGCACACTGTATGCAGTTTGGCTGTACATTTTAGGAAAACCCATACATGCTTTTGAGATGTGATATCAGCATGTAGGATGACAGAATGACCAAAGGGGAAGTTTCACATATCCCTAACTAGTGCAGCAAAGAAACAGCTGTGGTTTACAGAAATCTACAGAAATGCTTCTTTTTCTTGCCGTGATTTTCCTTGCAAGTCCTTTCACTTCAGTAGAACAAACACACTTTGCAATAAAGTGAAACAACAAAGACAGGACAGGTTCCCTTAGTAGAAACATTGTCATCCCATGAATAGGGCTTAATTCAGCATCCATCACTATTATTTTTTAGGATGAAGGGCTGTCATGGGATGAATGCATTTTATTACTCAATTCAGAAGCAGTGACAGACTCACACGGCTTAATCCTCTGGGGCCATGCCTATTGCTCGCCACTGCAATTTCTGTGAAAGAAGAGAAAGCTGTGTGGTCTATTTGATAGTAATTGAACAGGCTGGATCCACATTCTACCTTAGCTCATGAATGAGTTTTAGGGAAATGTACTGGGTTTTTTTCTAAAGGTGGATTAGTTACTCTTTTAAACATGCTTCAGTCACCCTTTTGTGCCTGCAGTTGGGGGAGATTAAGCACAGATAGCTGAGCGGATACACCACTGATCTTTCAATACATGCTATCAAATGGAATGGCCAATCTAATGCACAATAGAAATTGGTAGAAGAAGTCCAGCTTCACTAGTTACTATAAATAAATGACTGAAAACTAAAAGAGAGTGATCTTCTGGCACCTTTTAAAGATTTCACATTGCCTGAGATAATTCCTCACAAATGCCCATGTCTATGTTTGTTGTTCAATATAGTTTTCAGTACAATAAATGTTCTAAAATATATTACAGAGTTTGGCAGATTAGAGGGATGCCATTCAAGGGCATGGGCATTTTGACATACGTTATTAATCTGGAAAAAAAAACATTTTTTTTTCCGGGAAAAAAGCCTTTGTAACAAGCAGTAACCAATTGTAGCTAAATTCAGTGATTACATATCCTTCCTTGTCTATTCCTCCTTCATTACCATCATCTCCATTTCCTTCTGTCTTCTTTATAGGCTTACCCTGTTCTTTAGACTGGGGTTAAACTAGTTCTTTGTAAGATATAGATCAGCACTAATACCACCCATCTTACTCCACTCCACACACAAAGATAAGTTTCCTCTGTCTTGTAGCTTTAGATAATGGCAGGCAATGCAGCCACAAGCTCCACATGATGCCTATATGTTTTTGGTCTTCGAACTGGGTCCTAATGCCATCACGGTGGTGGTAATAGGATTGCTGTTACAATGGCATTCACTGCCCACACACCTAGCTTACAAGTAGAAGTGCACTCTTGGATTGTTAAAATCATAGAATTATGGAGCTGGAAGAGACTTATGGGCCATCCAGTCCAACCCCCTGCTAAGGAGGAAAATTGCATTCAGAGCACCCCTGACAGATGGCCACCCAGCCTCTGTTTAAAAGCCTTGACTTTTCAGAGTTCAGTATATGTATAAATAACAATTGCCTCATGAAAGATACTGGTAAGTACATTGTTAAGGGATCATCACATAGTATTTACCTCTTCACAGTTCTTCCCTACAGGTCTATCTTGTAATATGTAACTATTTCATTGTCATGTTCAAGGATGATTAATTATAATAATTTCCTCATCATCATCATCATTATCATCATCATCACTTTATTTCTTAATTAGTCGCTCTCCACCAAAGTGCTCCAAGCGACTTACAATTTAAAATAGCTTATACACAATATAAAACATTCAATATAAAAACATTCAACATAAAAACATTCAACATAAAAACATTCAGCAGTGACTATGGCAATATTTGATCCAATTACTTAAATGCACAACCAAACAGCCAAGTCTTGAGCGCCTTTACAAAAGGTCACAATTCCGACATTGCTCTAATATATGGAGGCAATGAGTTCCACAGAATTGGAGCATAGATCGAAAAAGCTCTACGCCTTGTAGCTTCCAAATGTGCCTCCCTAGGACCTGGTATGAATAGGAGATTTTCCTGGGTGGATCGAGGTGACCACTGATGGGGAAAAGGAATGAGGCGGTCCCTAAGATATAGAGGTCCTTGGCCATTTTGAGCTCTAAATGTCAGGATCAGTATCTTGTAAGAGATGCGATGTTCTATTGGTAGCCAATGCAGTTGTTGCAGAATCGGTGTAATATGGGATCTTATAGATGATCCCGCTAGCAGCCTGGCTGCCGCATTTTGGACCATCTGAATCTTCTGGGTCGTTGACTTCGGAAGGCCAGCATATAAGGCATTGCAATAGTCCAACCTGACTGTTGCGTGGATTACCATTGCCGTGGATTACCATTGCGTGACTGTTGCGTGGATTACCATTGCCAATGCTTCTACCGAAAGGTAGGATGCCAATTTCCTTGCCTGGCGAAGATGAAAAAAGGCCTGCTTACTTATGGCAGTGATCTGGGCCTCCATCGTCAGCGATGAATCCAACACAACCCCAAGGCTTTTAACAGTGGCAGATGGAACCAGAGCTTCCCCATTGAAATCAGGTAGAGACTGGGTTAATTCTGGCGGCTGACCGGGCCAGAGTATCTCAGTTTTTGCAGGATTGACTTTTAGTCTGCTTGCTCGTACCCAACTCATCACTGCTTCCAAACACAGCTTAAAGTTCTCAGGAATCCTGTAGGAGAAAATAAACATTCCCATAGAGTAGTCTCCCAGTATTCAAATATCCCAAAATGTTGCAGAGGAAAACCTGTCAGTTTTGTCTGTGTGTTCATGTGTGAATACAAAAATTGGATATGTTTTTCTATGCAAAATAATTCCACCACAATACTTTGTAATTTCCGAATACAGGAAGAAAAAATGACAAGATTTTTGTTGGTCTCTTGTTTTTTGCAATGTGGTTTCCTTTCTTCAGGCAACCACTTTTTTACTTTAGAATGTATAATAATGAACATTCTTTCCATCCCAATATATCAAATGTTCAAAAATATATGTTTAACAGTTTTCTTTTCCATAACACAGATTAAAATATTTTTTCTCAAAAAAATTAATTTGTCAGCAGTCTGAGAATTACTTTATGCCCCCCCCAAAGGCTGTTTCACCTCTTTAAGCATTGTCTTTATAATAATTTGCTTTCAAGTGGGATGTCCCGGAACCTGCTTTATCTTCCTTTAGGTGATTAAAGCTGTTGAAGAAGGATATCGTTTGCCAAGTCCCATGGACTGCCCAGCCACACTGTATCAACTTATGCTTGATTGCTGGCAAAAGGAGAGGAACAGCAGGCCCAAGTTTGATGAAATTGTCTGCATGTTAGATAAACTCATCCGGAACCCCAGTAGTCTGAAAACATTGGTGAATGCATCAAGCAGGTAACATACCCACCCCTGTGTCACCTTTCTTGCATTATTGCTAGCATTAGCAAGACCTCGGGTTGTGTGTTTTTTACATAATTGCTCAGACAATTTCTCACTTTTATTACTGCATGGAAACATATGAAAGTTCTTTAGCAATCTTATGTTTACAGTGGTAATTTTAAGGAAATTGAAGAATGAGTTATCCAAACTCAATCCTGGTCACATTTAGCAAAGCAAACACATAGTGAAGATTCACAGCAGGGGTGAGCAAAACTTTTGGACTGTAGTACAGACAGTCCCCAAGTTACAAAGATCCAACTTACAAATGACTCATACTTAGAAACTAGGGTGACACTCCAGGAAATGAGAGAATCTACCCCTCGTAAGGGAAATTATCATGGGAAAAAGATGTCTCAACTGAAGCTTTATCACCAGTCCTTGTTTCTACAACAATGCCATTTTTTTTCAAAATCCAATTATCACAGGGACAGAAAGTAAGGTGAAATCTTCTGAACAGGGGCACAGACAGCAAAACAAACACCACAAGAATGTTAATCCTTCTCTAGTCTATCCCATTTTTGGCTGGATTTACACTTAAAAATGCACCTGTTCCCACTTACATACAAATTCAACTTAAGAACAAACCTGCAGAACCTATCTCGTTCATAACTTTGGGACTGCCTGTAATCTTCACCATAGGCTGAGACTGGAAGGTTTTTCAGTGCAACCATATCTGCAGGGCAACACTCTTCTGCTCATATCCAGCAAATTTCCAAGCTCTCATATCTGACTGTAGTGATTTTCATGGTCATTTAAAACTTTGATGGAAATCATGATTAGGGAAGCTTGACTGTAGTTTTTGTATCAACAAAGTATGATTTGTGATTGACCAGCCAATCAGAATCATATGTCATAGTTTGATGTAGAATCTGAAATACTATAGCTCTTCAATTCTAAGACACACTTTCCCCCCCTATAAACATTCTTAAAATAGTGTACATATTATCTTATGTATTTTTGAAGGTGGTGGAACTGAAATTAGGCTGCATCTTACAATGGATGTTGTCTTACAATTGATGAAATACTATATTTAAAATTATAGTAATGGCTACCTCCAGAGATTGCTGAATATAAAGATGATTGTCCTTACCAAAATGTGAAGCTGAATCTTAAAAGATGAAAACAGAGGGTAACTGTAGCCCCAAACTATGGGTGTTTGAAAATTCAAACCATGGTTTGGAGCTAATCTGGGTTGGTATTTGGAGTGTGTCTTTATACGTTTATATGCATCACAATCACTAAAGCAAACCTGGCATGTACACACATATCTGTAAGAAGCAAAATTACATTTGTTTTGGATGTTTATACCTATACCTTTTCAATACAATATTTACCACTTTTTAGTCATGCATCATTTTGTGACATTTTGTTTTTTCTTTGTGGACTCTGTGAATGCACATACATGGAGTATCTGTGCCTGTGCTGGCTCCAATGGAAAACTCTAGATGAATCCTTTAAATTTTGGTGGTAATTCCACCCACTCCTCACAGGGCATAAAAGGGGGCTCTGGCTGCGAGCTTCCCAGTTCCTTTTTTGCACGGCACAGCTCCCTTCGGAAGCATTGTTAAATTGTCCATGACGCACTTCAAGCAGTGCACCCAGTGTGCTGCAAAAATCCCAGACTCCGATGGCTACATGAAATGACTTCTTTGTCTCAGTGAAGGTTCCGACAACAGAGCGACTATGGTAAAAGTACCTACCCAGCCATGGAGAAGCTGCCCCTCTTTGACCTCAAGCTCCCTTGCCTCAGTAAGGTCGACTCGGTCGAACATTGCAACTCCTCCATCCACCTCGTTAATGCAGATTGTTTTTAAGAGGGCCCATAAGAAATCCCAGAGAGCCCAGTCTGACTCTGCCACTCCCTTGCCAGTTCCTCCTACCCCAAGGACATTGCTGGCAACCTCTGCTACAGACAAGCAGCCCCCAGCTAAGAAGAGACAAACCCAGTAGTCATCTGCCTCCTTCAGAAGAGGCCAACCATCTTCTTCTACGACCTCCTCGAGAGATCCTCCCCAATTCAACCAGTCTAGCCCCCCAAGGAGTCTCCTGAGTCACTGATACACCATTTATCGACGGGTGAGATCCAAGACTCCCCAACACACTCAATCCACTCCGTGGTCAGGGCATCTCTATTGCAGATACAGCCTACTGAGCCCCAGGCCCGTCAACAACTTTTCCCCCGACTTCCACATGCTTGGCTCAAACAACCTAAGTGTCTGTGTCCAAACAACTGCCTGTCTCCAGATCTCCATAGAGGCCCCCTCAACCATCTGTTGCTGCACCTCCAGACCTGCGTCTCCAGTCTCCTCAATGTACTGAGGAAGAGGACCAGTACAATGACCTGCCCAAGTCAGTGCACTCAGACTCTGTTTTGTCACTGGGCATAGACCTCTAACTGAACCTGGAGGCCTACAATATCAACCCTCTGTTGCCGATGGGTAATGTCAGAACCTTTGTCAACCAGATGGTCTGTTTGGCACACACTTTGGGACTTAAAATTAAAATTAAACAAATATCAAAGGCAGTAACTGAACCAGTCTTCAAAAGGGTGCAAGTTGAGGCTCCACCAACGACCCATCTGCCCTTTCTGCCCTACTTACTCAACATCCTCCAGGCCTCCTGGAAGACCCCATCCTCCATAGCACCGACCTCCAAACGCATAGAGGTGTGGTATTGCATGGATGATGAGGGACTTGAATGGCTAAAATATCACCCCAAGCCAAACTCTGTCATGGTCAAGTCTGCCAATCTTCCATCAAACAGTCGAACTACCCCTCGGACCGAGAGGGGAAACGCTTCAATACCGTTGGTAGAAAACTCTACTGTGGGGCCCTGCTGTTGTCCAGGACCACGAACTATATTTCCTGCATGGGAGTGTACCAACAGATCCTGTGGGATCCCTTTTATGCTAAACCCCTTTCATGCTAAACCCCTTCCTCTTTGACTAGTCATCAGCCTTCCTCTACTTGTTCCCTTCAATCCCACTTATCCTGAAGGTGCTGGAGATTATCCAGCTCTGCAAGGTGAACTGCATCCTGATAACTCCGGCTTGGGCTGGTCAACCATGGTACCAAGCCCCCCTGGAGCTGTCTTGAGGCAAACTTTGCTCTCTGCTCCCCTGAGTCACCTTCATACCAGGGAACAGGGCCCCATTCTCCACCCAGATGTTCACTCTCTTCACCTCACAGCATGGAGAATAATGAACTGTGCTTGTTGCAACTCACTCTCAGGTCCAATTTGAGAGCCACACACAAGCTGATGACAACAAAAGCATATGCCTACAAGCTCGCTCGCTTCCATGACTTCCTTTGATCTCGAGACAAACTCGCTACTTCAATGTTGATACCATTGGTGTTTGACTTCTTACTTACCTTGCCCTTGCCTCCATAAAATCTTACCTAGTGGGAATTTCCTGGTCTTTCCAACAACAGGGCCTACCYCCCCCCCCCCCCCGGTTTCAAAACCATCTTGTAAAGACATTCCTCAAGGGGTACACAAATCTACACCCACCAATCCACCCACCTACCCTGGGATGGAGTCTCAAACTCATCCTCTCTCATCTCTCTGGCCCACCCTTTGAACCACTTGCCGCATTGGGCCTCTGCCTCGTCTCCTGGAAGGTCGCCTTCCTGGTGGCTATCACTTCAGCCCTCCACCCATCCGAGCTGACAGTGCTTCGAGTTGATGTACCTTACCTCCTCTTCCAACAGGACCAAGCCATCCTCCATACTGACATCACCTTTCTGCCGAAGGCAATGTCGGTGTTCCATGTGAGGAGTGGGCGGGATTACAGCCAAAATTTAAAATATTCACCTAGATTCACCTTTTCCATTGGAGCCTGTGCAGGCTCAAATAATCCATATATGTGGATTCACAGAGTACTCGAAGAAAAATGGTTACAGGTAAGCAACCTGACCTTACTAGCAAACTGGAGGTTAAACCAGCCCCTTATAAGAAATACAGACACATACATATATTGTAACAACAAAATGTATGGTGACACAATATATTTCATGAAAATCTTTTATTTATATATTTTTGAAATATTTACTTTGTAAGATAATAACATGTATTTCTAAGGTTTTCCGAGGGGATGATATTAGTGCACCACAATAATCAACTCATTTGCTGTGCAAAAATGCATCCAAATTGGTATATCTTTTTTCACATAGACTCAGTGGTTTCTCATAACATTCACAAGACACAGCTATGCATTGGAGACTGACACACTAATAGTTTGGAAAGCTCTGATCCAAATAATTGTTTCCAAATCTATTTGGCTGGAAAGTATTTGTCTCCACAATATGAGAACCATATGTATGCCCATAGCTACAATTCTTTTTCTTCTTCCTGAAAATACTCCAGCACTGTATAACAAGTATAAACATTTTAGTACAACCTGTTTAGAGATAACCTGGACAAGGATGATTCCCTTATACAAGGCCTGCACAACTTGGAGGCTTCTGAGTGTTCAGCTCCCCAAATTCCTGATCATTGAACTAGCAGGGGCCTTTGGGAGTTGAAGGCTCAAACAGCTGGAGAGCCACCAGTTTTGCAGGCCTGCCCTATACCAAAGATGAGCAAAGTATGTCCCCACATATCTTGTCGGGCTGCAAATCCAATCACTCCCAGTTGACATAGCCCATAATGAGAAACATTGGGAGTTGCTTCTCAATAAATAACTACAGCTCCACATTTTGCTCACTTCTGCCACTTCTGCCCTAAAGCTGGCTGAAAACCTGGGAGCTGAGCCAAGTAGAGAAGAAATGTCACACCCTATTTAAGGCCCTTTTCTCTGCTTTTATGTTCATTAGGGAACAAAAACTGTTTTAGCAGATAATAGGATACACAGCCCAGTATAGACCAACAGAAAATGTAATCTAAATGTGAATGCTGATTTCCCTTGTAGGGAAACTAGGGAGAATGCTCGCTATTATGTCTGTTTATTTATCTTTCTCCTGTATTCAGGGGCTAGAGAATTCTAATTTCTTGCCAGACTACAAACCCAGGATTTGATGGGATGCTACTATGGCCATTAAAGTGGAATAATAGTGCTGTAATTGTGCAGTGGAAAAAGCTGTATCACAGAGTGCAGATAACTCACAAGATCTATCAGCATTTGGGTCCCTTTAAGTGTTCCTCATAGCATCCACAGTGGGAAACAGAGTTTGAGAGACTAATAAAACCATCCCAACTGAAAGAACAGTTAGTTTTGTGTTCCAGAACCCCACATGGGTTTATTCTGACTAAAGAAAGCCTATGAATAGTGAAATTAGCCCCACATGCAAGCTGTGTATTGAGCCTCTAAAAAGCAGTATTTTGAACTGAAAATGAAGCTATAGAGTATTTGAGTGCACTCTACATAAAGTACTGTTCTTACACTATGAGGTTCTGAGGGAAATCTTGACACTTCAGTGTCACTGGATCACTATTTCCTGTTCTTAATACTACATTATCTTATACCTGAAATGTGATATCCAAATATTTAATGTGTATCTTACCTTCTTGTTTTAGAGTTTCAAATTTATTAGGTGAACACAGTCCACTGGGAAATGGTGTTTACAGATCTGTAGGTGAATGGCTGGAAGCCATAAAAATGGGACGGTATACAGAGATTTTCATGGAAAATGGATACAGTTCTATGGATGCTGTGACCCAGGTGACCTTGGAGTGAGTAAATTTCCTGATCATTTTCATTGAAATAAGAGAGGATCCTCATTGTTGGAAGCCAGTTTAGAAAGAAAAGATAGAGGACAATCGGGAGCATTTGGATTTTTTTAAAAACAATCTCACCTGATTCTATGGAAACGTCATCATTTATATCTTCCATAAATTATAACAGACTTGTAAGACAACTGAACCTGTGGTTATTACTCTTGTTTACAATACATCCGTTCCTTTGAGTTTGAACACAGGTATGTCATCCAGATTCTGGCATATGGCTTGGTCCAGTTTTATGTAATGAAGGCACTAGTATCCTGATACCTCAGTGGTGTGACTAAGAGAGTTTTGAAGAACATGCTCTTCAGTTACACGAGTGAATGAGAAGGTTTTGATTTCACAAACATGTAGAAACATCATGGGGATGGTAGTGGAGAATTCACAATGTTCCAGGATATAGTCACAGCTTCTTGTTAAATTGAGGAAAAAGTCAGGAAGAGAGTTGGGGCTGTATTGCTTTGTTTGAATTCTGTTGCAATACGGAAATATTAGGAAGACTTTCAATTCTAGGAGGAGAATTGATATTATTTGCTCCTCTTTGCCTTTGAGACTTTGACACATTCTTTTAACCTGTCACCCCTGAGATCACTTCTCCACAGAAATAACAGACTGGCCCCTGGGGTAAGAAATTCTGGGAGGAAATCCCTTGACAAGAAAGCTGAAAACAAAGACATAAGGATATTCCTTGCCTGCATCTGAAACTGTCAAACCCAGGAGGGACTGGCACAAATTAGTTGGGGTTCGATGGTTCCCTCAAACTTTACATCTGATAGGTTGAGGTGCTGGGCGTCAGGACACACTGTTAGAAGTATAACACCAGGTAGGCAATGCCAGGAGATTTTTTAAAAGTTCATTTCTTATAGCTGGGACTGTGAGATATAGAGCAGAAGGCACATATCTCTGAATGATGTAAGAAAAAAACATGCTATTGACAAGGATATTCCCCACTCTGGCACTGATCTAGAGAAAATATTATGAAATTCACCAGGCTCATCCAGTTTACTAGGCTTCTCTAGGCTCCTTACGTTTCAGGAAACCCTTGCCAATGACATCAGTTTTGATTTTTCGAAAGTACTACTAGTCTCTTCAGTGTTGCACTGTACCCTTGCATCTCTAAAAATATATATATTGTCACCTCAAAGGTATGTGCAAACCAATTCCAAGGGTGACATGCACTTAAGAATATGTGGTCTATTTGCTTTAGTTTCCGCACATCAAAGCATGTTCCTGAAAGAACAGAAATATTTAAAATCCTTTATCTTCTTAACTTCTTCTCAGCATGGGAGTTGCAAATAGTCTGTCGCAGGTTTCTGGCTGTGCTAAGAAATCTAACTTTATCTTCCTTCATCCATTTCAGATGTAAAGCAAGGGAGGGGGGATATTGGCTGCAGTGTGAATTACAGAAACCATTTATCCACCAGAACTCAGCAGAGCAGAATGGGACTTATTTTCAGTAATTGCAGTAACCTGTTTACAATACAGATTCTAATTCCAAATGTTGAGCCTTGGAATCATCATTTTGAGATCTAGTATAGATTTCTGCAGAACATTAACTAAGACCACTGGTAATTGGGGGAAAGAGCCCATCCAAAATGAAAAATTGGTGAAGAAAAAACAGGATTTTTTTTCACTTCTTAGTTTTGTCTCTGGATTATATTTTATTGGGAAATCTCAGATTCTGTTCAGGTTAGAGAGCCAGTAACCACTACCACTTCTCACATGTATTGTGTAGCATGGTTATTTTTTAATTATTCTTATTTGCTTCCTTATGTCACAATTAATGATAAGAATTGAATAGAGAGAAAAAGTTTAAACCTTCCTTCTGTTTTAATGATCAAATAAAATATGCACTGTGTTCTGCATTTGTACACCCTCTTTGTTAATTTTGGATAACCTGGTACTGTCTTTTATGTGTTGTGAATTTGATCACTCCAGGCAACAACTGAAAAAAAAATCTGCAAATTATAACTTGGGGCAGGTGTGTCCTTTATTTTTGCATGCACTTCTTTGCTGAGTTGAACCCAAATTTGTGAAGCACCAAGAGCTCTAAACTGGTATACTAAATGCTTTTTTGCATTTCTTTTAAATGACAATGTACATGTATTTGTGCCTGTACAATCCTTGAGCACTGATTACTGTTTTGATACTTGATACTGTATTGCCCCTTGGGTGACAGAGGTAGAGTTTCATGCCCCAAATTGCTTTCAAAAAATTCACCTGCCCAGTAAAAATGAAAACAAACACATCTAAAATGTTATCTGCTGGTATTTCTTTCTGAACATGACTGTACTTGCAGGGGCTTATTTCCCATTAGCAATTGTTTTGTCTATTAACTGAATTGTACTTGTGAAGGAGAATCATCTCTAGTGTCAGTGAAGTTCTAATCTTCAGATACTTAAATTTTAGTCCAAGTTTCAAGTTACATGCAGTTTTTTAAGAATGTGGTTGTAAACTTTTTGTATCTGTAAAGTTTTCAAAGGGAACAGGTTTACGAACAGAGAGAAAATGCACCAATATTTTATTACAATTTATTCTGTAGAATACCAGCTGTGGGATCCAGTCTTGTAGAGACTAAACGTTACACCATTTCTACTGGTACTACTCAAAGTGGTGGTCACAGACTAATGGCATGTGCTGCTTTTCCTTGGAGAGTTTTGTGGGGTGGGGAAACAGTTGTAGGTAGTGGGCACAAATATGGTACCAGTTTCTGGCACCTTGGGAAAAAAATGCTGCCCAGTCACATCAGAATGGTTGATGCCTCTCACACATGAGACATTTTAATAGCCATCCTCTACCTACCAAAAACTCTGAAGATTATTCTTTTTGCATTAATTCCCCAAAGTATTTACCAGAGGAGGGTTTTTTTTTTAACACACTCATAAAACTAACCTTTTTAGGAATCTCTGGTAGAGTTGACCCATACAATGTTATGTTTGTTGTTTCCTAAAATGTGTTATATGATTGATGTAATCCCATCAAATCGTAGAGAATTTTACCTCTTCCCCTGAAAATGAGGAGCTCCCTGGCATGCTTAAACACAACCAAAGCAATGGAGATGCATTTAATGAAAGTAGCAAACCACATTTCGCTTCACTGGCTCCCTGGAGCAACCCAACTATCAAGATTTTAGTTGAGCCAAACTTCAATAGTTGGAGAATGAAGACTTCAGTATTTTTCTCCTAGCCGTGTTGAATCTAGAAATTGGAAATAATTTTGTTTCTGCTTAGTTTTTTTAATAAGAGTTTACCAAATTATGCAATATTTCCATATTTGGAAAGGAAAAATCTTTGGATTTTAAAAATGTGAATGTAGAGAAACTGAAGTTGAAAGATAAATCCATTGGGGCCTTTTAGTGCTTGAGTCAAGTCTGGATTTCAATTTCTGTGTATTCAGTCATGCTCGTGCAAATTAGTGTTGTGTCACATATTTTTTGCAGAAAGATTGTTAATCTTTAACACTTATTTGGCAAGCAGGTGCAGTGTAGATCTTTTCACACTAGGAATAGCTTGCCCTACTTAATTTGGCTAACATACATATAGAGAATTCAACAAGATTTAGACATTTTTTGTACATAGAGTGGAAATAATCTCAAGTTTCAGAAAATCTGGTTATAGGAAAAAAAGCAAAAATGGCAGATTTACTCAACCTGCTGGGTCACTAGCTCCTGTAAATTTTATATCATGAGCTATGAAACTCCCTGTACTTAATACTATAGAATTTTATTATAAGAAACTTTACTCCCTTTTTACCTTCTTAGTTTCTAACTTTACTGTATAACAGCAGAAATATTTTGAAAACACTATTGTCGGCTGAATATTAATATAACATATTTTGTGTTGTCGAAGGCTTTCATGGCTGGAATCACTGGGTTGCTGTAAGTTTTTCGGGCTGTATGGCTATGTTCCAAAAGCATTCTCTCCTGATGTTTTGCCTGCATCTATGGCAGGCATCCTCAGAGCTTGTGACTATTTTGCTTTCTCTCTTTTAAAAGATGCTATGGAATACTGTTTTATCTGTGGAGCAAAGTACTATTCCATATATATTAAGAAAACATGTCTGGAACTTCGCAGGGTGTCATTGAAGTTGTTGCTCTGACATGTTCAGCAGAATGAGGTAGAACATAGATTGAGGTGGAACATACAATGGGATAGAATTATTTAATACTCCAGACAGAGCACCGCTGCTTTTAAAATTGTTCTTTAGAACCAATTACAGATAGGAAATTAACACTGCTGGTCTAAATTTCAAGAAACATCATGAACACAAAGAAGGCAATTATTGATACTTAATAGTTGGAGCCTATGTCTTAAATCAGGGGTCCTCAAACTTTTTAAACAGAGGGCCAGGTCACAGTCCCTCAAACTGTTGGAGGGCCGGATTATCACTTGAAAAAAACATGAATAAATTCCTACGCACATTGCACATATCTTATTTATAGTGCAAAAAACACTTTAAAACAATACAATAATTAAAATGAAGAACAATTTCAACAAATATAAAATTATTAGTATTTTAATGGGAAATGTGGGCCTACTTTTGGCTTATGAGACAGGATTGTTGATGTTGTTGTGTGCTTTCAAGTCGTTTCAGACTTAGGTTGACCCTGAGCGAGAGCCAGGTAAATGGCCTTGGAGGGCCGCATCCGGCCCCCGGGCCATAGTTTGAGGACCCCTGTCTTAAATACTTGAATATGCCAGAGCTGACCAAGGGTGTAATCATATCTTTCTGCTACTTCAGTTCATCTTAGGGGGACTTACACAATAGAACATCCTGGTAGATTTGCCCTAAGTTCTCATAGTCATCTCTAAACCTTAGTCTTCCAGAGATCATCTAAAGGAGTGGTTCTCAGCCTGTGGGTCCCCAGATGTTTTGGCCTTCAACTCCCAGAAATCCTAACAGTTGGTAAACTGACTGGGATTTCTGGGAGTTGTAAGCTAAAACACCTGGGG